GCGCGCTAGCGGCCTGTCGTGCTGCTGCTCCTCCCGCCTCCTGCTGCTGCTGCTGCTCCTCCACCTCCTCCTCCGTTGTCCCTGCTCCGCTTCCTCCTGCTTTTTCCCCCGCTCCCCTCCCGCTTGTCCTGCCCTCCTCGCCTCTCGTCTCCCCCCCCCCTGCTCTGCGGGGGGACGGTTGGCCTTTGGTTTAGGCTGTGAAGCTAAAGCGACCTTTCGGGTGGTTTAGGCTGTGAAGCCAAAGTGGCATTCGGTGGAGCTCCCTATAGGGCCACGAAGCGTGTGATGTGTGCCGAAATGGGGGTGGAACCACATGCCAACGCAGTCACTGGGGCATTCGGTGGAGGTCCCTATGGGGCCATGAAACTTGTGAGGGGTGTGCCGAAATGGGAGTGGAACCGCATGCGAACGCAGCCACTGGGGCCTTCAGTGGACCTCCCTATGGGGCCACGAAACTTGTGAGGGGTGTGCCGAAATGGGGGTGGAGCCGCATGCGAACGCAACCACTGGGGCCTTTGGCGGAGCTCCCTATGAGGCCTGAAGACGTCTGAGGGATGTGTCTGAATGGGGGTGGAACCGCATGCGAACGCAGCCACTGGGGCCTTCAGTGGAGCTCCCTATGGGGCCACGAAACGAATGAGGGGTGTGCCGACATGGGGGTGGCACCGCATGCGAACGCAGCCACTGGGGCATTCGGCGGAGCTCCCTATGGGGCCACGAAACGTGTGAGGGATGTGCCGAAGTGTGGTGGAACCGCATGCGAACGCAGCCTTCGGAGGAGCTCCCTACGGGGCCACGAAGCGTGTGAGGGGTGTGCCGAAATGGGGGTGGAACCGCATGCCAACGCAGCCACTGGGGCATTCGGTGGAGGTCCCTATGGGGCCACGGAACGTGTGAGTGGTGTGCCGACATGGGGGTGGAACCGCATGCGAACGCAGCCACTGGGGCCTTCGGAGGAGCTCCCTACGGGGCCACGAAGCGTGTGAGGGGTGTGCCGAAATGGGGTTGGAACCGCATGCGACCGCAGCCACTGGGGCCTTCGGAGGATCTCCCTATGGGGCCACAAAACATATGAGGGGTGTGCCAGGATTCCAGGATGGGGGTGGGGAGGATGGAGGAGCGGGAGGAGGAGGGGAGGACGAGTGGAGAGGAGAGGAGGAAAGCGGGGCGCTGTCTCTTCAAAACGAGGACCCAACACCGCAGGATGCTCGGGACGAAAACAACAAGAAACATTCATTCGGTTCATATTTGGCTGTTGGCGCCCGACCTGCAGCAGCAACGGCACCCGCCTGATACTTCCTCACAAGCTCTTTCAACATTGCGCTCTCGCTGGAGACGTGCTTGGAGATTACTACAGAATAGCGCCCTCGCGTTGGAATTTCCCGCAAACTCGACGCCGCGCTCCTGACACTCAGCATCCTTCGTGGCCCCGTTGCAGCCCTTCGTGGCCCCGTTGCAGCCCTTCGTGGCCCCGTTGCAGCCCTTCGTGGCCCCGTTGCAGCCCTTCGTGGCCCCCTCGCTGCCCTTCGTGGCCCCGTTGCAGCCCTTCGTGGCCCCCTCGCTGCCCTTCGTGGCCCCGTTGCAGCCCTTCGTGGCCCCTCGCTGCCCTTCGTGGCCCCGTTGCAGCCCTTCGTGGCCCCCTCGCTGCCCTTCGTGGCCCCGTTGCAGCCCTTCGTGGCCCCCTCGCTGCCTTTCGTGGTCCTGTTGCAGCTCTTCGTGGCCCCCTCGCTGCCCATCGTGGCCCCGTTGCAGCCCTTCGTGGCCCCCTCGCTGCCTTTCGTGGCCCCTTTGCAGCACTTCGTGGCCCCCTCGCTACCCTGCGTGGCCCTGTTGCAGCTCTTCGTGGCCCCCTCGCTGCCGCCCCATGTCCATGCCCTTCGTGGCCCCTGCTCGTTGCAGCCCTTCGTGGCCCCATATGCATGCCCGTCGTGGCCCTCTCGTGGCCCCCTCGCTGCCCATCGTGGCCCCGTTGCTGCCCTCGGTGGCCCCGTCCTTGTCCTCCGCGGCCCAATATACGTATGCCCTTCGTGGCCCCCGCTCGTTCGCGCCCGTCGTGGCCCCATGTGCATGCCCTTCATGGCCCCGCCGTCGCCCTTTGTGGCCCCCTCGCTGTCCTACGTGGCCCAGTTGCTACCCTCAGTGGCCCCGTCGTTGCCTGCTGTGGCCCCGCATTATCTGCCCTTCGTGGCCCCCGCTCGTTCGCGCTTTTCGTGGTCCCATACGCATTCCCTTCGTGTCCCCGCTGTCGCCTTTCGTGGCCTATTTCGTGTCCATCGTGGCCCTGCTGTCGTTCTCTCTCTCTCTCTCTCTCGCTCTCGCTTTCGCTCGTCGTCGCCGTCGTCGCCGTCGTCGTCATCGTCGTCGTCGACGTCGTCGTCGTCGTCTTCGCCGTCGTCGTGGTCGGTCCCCTGTCCGTCCCTCTTGGGGTCGGGTTGCCGCCGATCAGCACTGCCGCTGGCCAGGCCGACGGTCCGCGGCCGCCCCGCCGCTTGCCGGGGCCCGGCCTGCAGGGAAGAAAGGTATACCCCCCAAAAGGGGTACGATCGAAGACGAAGAGGGCGGGTATCGAGGGTTTGGGAAATATGCGTTAACGGAAACTCGCGCAGATATGAGCGAACTGTCTTAAACCAATTGTTGTTGCCGACATGGGGGTGGAACCACATGCGAACGCAGCCACTGGGGCCTTCGGAGGAGCTCCCTACGGGGCCACGAAGCGTGTGAGGGGTGTGCCGACATGGGGTTGGAACCGCATGCGACCGCAGCCACTGGGGCCTTCGGAGGATCTCCCTATGGGGCCACAAAACATATGAGGGGTGTGCCAGGATTCCAGGATGGGGGTGGGGAGGATGGAGGAGCGGGAGGAGGAGGGGAGGAAGAGTGGAGAGGAGAGGAGGAAAGCGGGGCGCTGTCTCTTCAAAACGAGGACCCAACACCGCAGGATGCTCGGGACAAAAACAACAAGAAACATTCATTCGGCTTAGATTTGGCTGTTGGCGCCCGGCCTACAGCAGCAACGGCACCCGCCTGATACTTCCTCACAAGCTCTTTCAACATTGCGCTCTCGCGCGGGACTTCCTCAGAATGCATGCAGGATTCGCGCCCTCGCGCGATTTTCGTGCATTGCAGCGCGGTGCCCCCAATACCCAGGAATCACGCAACCGCTCTGCATGTCTTTGAATGCGCTTGCGAAGCGCTCCATCGCTGCGAGACTTCTGATCCATGCAGGGCCAGACTCCTCTGTGACCCGCCCGTGCGACCCAGCCGTCTGCGCCCGCTGCCCGACTGTCAGGTTGGAGCCCCACGGGCCAATCTGGCCTGGCCAAACTGGATGATTTGGGTTATTCGCCAGACTGGATTCGCTTTGGCTCCCTCGCCAGATTGCCCCCGTTTGCCAGATTGGGCCTGCCAGATTGGCGCCAGATTGGCTTCGACTACCCAGGTCCGCCCGCCCGACCTGCCCGTCGGGTTCTGCCGCCTGTCTTCCTGCTCCGAGCCTGCTCCTAGGCCCCCTCCTTGCGGATCTCTCTCTCATGCTCCATCCTTCTCCCTTCGCCTTGCCTCTGCCCTCCTGCCTCCCTTCTCCTGTTTTAGGGCAAGCGCCCACTGCATGCGGCAGGTAGGGGAGATATACCCTCAAGGGGGTACGATTGAAGACTAAAGAGGCGGGTATCGAGGATTTGGGATGTACGTGTTGAGTGGCACCGAGCACATCAGAGCGAACATTCTTAAAATGATTGGTCTCCTCCTCCTCCTCCTCCGCCTCGCGTCAGAGGCTCCTCCTCCTGAGAAGGTCCCCAGACGGGGGCTCCAGAGGTCAAACGCCTCGATCATCCTTGTCACCCGTCTCGTCCCCCTCGCGAAGGCTGCTCCAGTATGCTGTATCTTGGGAGTCCCAGGTCCCAATATACTTTCAGCGCCTTCCTACTTCAGCAGTCGAAGGGGCTTTACTTTGTCTTCCCTTTCGGGGCCGGGCCAGAACCCAGTCGCCTTTTCGTTGCCTTCCTACCTGGCACTTAGCCTGGAGTCAAAACGCACAGTAAGGATGAGTGACTTTCCTTAGGGCTTCCCTTACATTCTTGCGCTGTTCTTGCTTTTGATCCAGACGCGCATTCGGCAAGGATGGGGTCTCTTAGGGTACCCTTTGCATCGTCAGGTTTCTGGCTGTGCACTTCTCCAAAAGGCTTCAGCCTGGGTGTGCCCAGGGTCCAAGCTTCCGACGAACCGATTTTTCACTCCGCGGTACCCAGAGGTCCTCCCCTCCCCCACGGGGGATCAGACGTCGGCCCTCGCACCCGTCCAGAGGTGCGTTCCGGCCAGAACTTCTGGGAGAATCCAGCCGTGGCCGCGATGGCGCCCCAGGAGGCCCAGAAACGTTGGATGGACAACTCGGATCCAGGACCCTCGACCTCAACGCCCCCTCGACGTGCGACGACGTGTTTTTCTGTTCTGCATCCGCGGGCCTCTGGGGCCCTGGTCCCTTCCCTTGGGGCGGCTCTTCGTCCCGGGCCTCTCCTTGGGGCCAGAAGGCGGCCCCGTGGAGGCCGAGGCGGAGGCAGAGCTGCGCGACGGAAGAGGCCATGTCGCCCGGGAAGGCCCTGTCTGGGCATCGTCCCAGGGTGGGATGAAAGGGCGAACCCAGCAGGATGCTCACAGTTCCTCCTTCCAGGAGCCATTCTGAGCGATGGCCCTCTGCCCTTGCATTGCACGTCGTCGCCTCACTCTGCCAAATCCCACAAGCGCGAATCAAATTCGAACACGACTCATCCTGGGGTCTCTCTCCTCTTCGGTAATGGAGGATGACGATTAATAAATGACCGGGGGTCGTGTTCACGCGGCGGCGCCCGGCATGACGATTAGAAAAAACCGGCCGCGGGCTGGAAAACTATGTTTTAAAATCGTCCCCCTCCAGTCAGACAATTTTGCAGAAATAGCAGAACACTATTTTTTTAATCGTTCTCTCTCATTATTTTTCTTAATCGTCATCCCGCATTATGTATGCG